CGCCCACCCCCACCGCGCCCCGGAGCGCCGCCGCCCGACCGCCCCTAGACCCCCCGGGTACCCCTGCTGCCACCCCGGTCACAGCGAGAGGAAAGGTGGGGGAATACGGAAGCCAGCAACAAACCCCCACCCCGCCCGCAGCCACCTCTCTTGTTCGGAAATGAATTTTGGCAAGAGATTAGTTCCTAATCTGATCTAACGCTGCTGACATTTGGGAAGAAGATGAAAATGGCAGCTCAATTTCATTCTGAAACGGGGTCACTTCGCCGGGCTCTGCTTCTCAGAGGACGCGGATGTCCCTCCCCCTTCTCCCCTAAACCTGAGGAGCTGGCATGGAGCTGGAGGGGCAGACCCCCGCCCCCTGGGGCTGGACCCTGACCTACCCCGGGTTGAATGGTGGGGGTAGAAGAAGGCTGTCTGGGCTGGGGACAGCTTCTGTCCTTCACTGTTTGTCTGTAGGGCACCTTCCCTCTTGCTTGGGCAGGGGCATGGGCTCCAGGGTCCCCATCGAAGACCTTGTAGGCTAGAGAGCCTCTTTCTTGCAGGGAAGATCATGGAAGGTAAGAAAGTTTCCAGAGTCACGAGTGAGGCAATTAAAATGAAGTGTCCCCAGGGCTCCCTGGGCAAGTAAAAGCAGTCCCAGGGGCTGGGTGGTTGGCCTTGGCAGAGGGTCTGCCTTGTTTAGAAACCATGGATCTGGAGGTAGCTCCTCGCATACTAGGTTCCATGAGACTGCAAGGTCCTGGAAGGCAGGAGCCAGGACTTCCTGGGCAGAGCTTTCCTTTTCCCCCAGACACTGACATACCTGCTGCAGACTTAAGAAGTGGAAGGGCCATGTTCTTGGTCACCTAGCAGGCCCCACAGTCCCCAGCCTCTGCCTTCAGCTGGGACTGCCCAGCAGTGCCCTCAACCTGGGTCAGGTAACAGAGGTCAGGGTCAGGTGGAGTCAGTTTTGGGGGAAACTGCCTGGTCACTGGATCCTACTCTTGAGGGAGGGTTCTTGGGGGCCTGGCACTTCTGAGGCCCTGCCAGTGGGGTGAAGGGCCTGGGATGGGGGTCGATAACATCATCAGCTCAGACCAAGGAGGAACCCAAGAGAAGGAGATTCTTTAGAATCTGTGCTTGGGACCCTGGGAGTGAGTGTGGTAAGGAAACCATGTACGTTGCATGCTGCTGGTCACATATGCGTGAGTGGCTGTACTGAATGTGCTTGGGCAGCATGTAACTTCATGTTTGTGGATGACAAATATGTATAAGTGTGCACATGGCTGGGAGCCCATACTGTGTCTTTGTGCAGCTTAGAAAAATGTATCCCTTCTTCTGGGTGGATGGCTGCCCTGTGGCTTGGCCAGTGAAATGTGAGCTGGATTTCAGCAACGTGACCCCATGCCCTATCCCCATGACCAGACTTCTTATGCAGAGCACAATCTGTATTCCATGAGCTGGAACTCAGGTGGGAATGTCTGTGTTGGGTGTGATATTCTCGAGGTGCCTTTCTTATTGAGAATCGGCCTTATTCTGAGCAGTCCCTCCTTTATTGGTATGCACCTACCTGGGGACTGTTCCCTGCCCCCTTCCAAGTGTGGAGGATCTGAAGAGCAACAGCCAGCATATCTGCGACCCTGAACATTACTGAACATCATGCAAAGGGCTGAATGTTCCTGAACATCATGCGAAGGGCTGAATGTTCCTGAACATCATGCGAAGGGCTGAATGTTCCTGAACATCATGCGAAGGGCTGAATGTTCCTGAACATCATGCGAAGGGCTGAATGTTCCTGAACATCATGCGAAGGGCTGAATGTTCCTGAACATCATGCGAAGGGCTGAATGTTCCTGAACATCATGCGAAGGGCGATAACATCATCAGCTCAGACCAAGGAGGAACCCAAGAGAAGGAGATTCTTTAGAATCTGTGCTTGGGACCCTGGGAGTGAGTGTGGTAAGGAAACCATGTACGTTGCATGCTGCTGGTCACATATGCGTGAGTGGCTGTACTGAATGTGCTTGGGCAGCATGTAACTTCATGTTTGTGGATGACAAATATGTATAAGTGTGCACATGGCTGGGAGCCCACACTGTGTCTTTGTGCAGCTTAGAAAAATGTATCCCTTCTTCTGGGTGGATGGCTGCCCTGTGGCTTGGCCAGTGAAATGTGAGCTGGATTTCAGCAACGTGACCCCATGCCCTATCCCCATGGCCAGACTTCTTATGCAGAGCACAATCTGTATTCCATGAGCTGGAACTCAGGTGGGAATGTCTGTGTTGGGTGTGATAT